TATATATATATATATGTATATCTATGTATATGGCAACTCTCCACGATACACGTATTTACTTGAAGTATGAAGATATAATACATACGGAAAGAAGAGAAAGATCGGCGTCGATCCGTGATAGAAATTCCATAGGAAGGGAGAAAGAATTTGGGGTGGTGTATCCTTGTAGACAAAATGCACGCACACATACAAAAGTAAATAAGTAAGTGATACGTGCATTCGTATACACATAGAGGCGCGCACACATAAGAGACACACTGCAACTTCTGATTCTACGAATATCTTTTTTATTAAAGCGCTGTGGAAACTCAACGATGTTTTACAAGAGATATTTACAGGTTTGAAAGATACCTAAATTATTTCTCTCTCTCTCTCTCTCTCTCTCTCTCTTTTTCATAGCTCTCATGCAGTTATTACGACCCATTCCGACATGCTTTGCGACGATCTCTTTGCGAAGCCCGACAAATTTCACAAAGGGTTCCTTTGAACGCTTTTTAGAGAGACGTCGGGAAAAACTCAAAAAGATGATGTTTCATGTCTTAGCTCTCTCTCTCTCTCTCTCTCTCTCACTCTCTCTCTCTCTCCCTTTCACTCTTTCTATTTCGCTACTACGAAAAAAAACGCAACATTATCACAGTTTATCTGTATGTTCGAAACACCGTCGTAAACCACATTTAACTCGAAGATCCTTCACAGTGGGCACAATTAAACGCACTTACATGCACACAAAACACACCTCTCGCTACGACGGACTTAGAAATCCAAAAGATCACGTCAAAGCGGCTCGAAAAACGCACTTTTCTGACGTACTCTTTCCGGGCATAACAAATGGTGGATATCTCGTGATGTGCATAATGTAAAACCGCCAATGATGACATTTCATAGAGATTTTTTAATCATTTTTTTTTTAATTTACACATATATATATTTATATATATATTTATATTCATGTATTTATATATTTATATTTATAGATTTATATTTATATATTTATATACATATATATTTAGAAAGAAAGGAAAAGGATTGCTTAAATAGATCTGTATCATACACGTTTCGCTATGTACAAATAATGGAAAGGAAAGGAAGAGGAAGAAAAAAGGGGAAAAGTGGAGAAAAAGAGTGAGTAGAGAGTAAGATTGAGAAAAAGAAAAAATGTCCGCTTAGGGATGAACAGCGGCACCGATCCGTTGTCCGTAAATCGCGTAAGGCGAATAATAAGGACCAAGCGCATTAAAGGCGCTGTACGGTGAAGCTGCGAGAGATGCAGGTAAAGGTGCAGTGGGTGGTTTACCGTAAGGGTGATATCTCGCACCGAGAGGACTGAGAGAGGGTGCGGGATAGGAGGCACCGCTTGCACGGTGGAGGGCCGCCGCCGAGGGCGAGAGAAGCGGATGGGGATGAGGATTTGCTAAAAGACTTGTAGGTTCCTGTGCACCAGCTGCCGCGGCCGCCGCCGCCGCTGCAGCCGCTAGATTCGTGTGACTGCGGAGATGTTGTAGGAGCTCTTCGGAGGTTGAAAATCGTTTGCCACAGAAGGAGTCACCAGCGATCCAGTTGCACACGTACGGCCTACCACCGGTTAGCGACGAGGGATATGCGAGCGGGGGTGGTGGCATCGAACCTAACGATGACAATGCCATTGCCAGGCCATATTTCTGATGATCGCACTGGGAACATCCACCTGGACAGACGGATGCGGCTCCGCCGGCAACACTCGCGGCACTCGCGGCACTACCACCACCACCTCCACCACCACCAGCAGTGCCAGCGGCACCGCCGGCACCCGCACCAGCGCCCATCATCAATTGGGCTCCGTGAACACTGTATTGACAACCGGTGCAATAAGGATCCTTGCAAACTGGAACGAATGCTTCGCCGCCGGCTGGCGTCTTCACTCGAGCGTAACTAAGGTACGGGTTGCCTGGCGACGGTGCGGTTGTTGGATAGCCCAGAAGAGCGGCCGCGGCCGCGGCGTGGTGATGAGAAAACGGTGATGCGCCAGCAAACGGTGGCCTGAATGCAGGATTCTCTGCGAGTCCGGGTGGACAACAAAGTGGATTTCCAGTAGTGAACCCAGGTAACGATGCTTTGTACGCAGCCAATCCGGTCGGATCTTTCGCGTGACCGCCGCTAAGTATTTCCATGCCTGATCTGATTATTGGACTCGTTCCGTTATTTCGTGGCGATGCGTCGGTTTTTTCACGATCCCCAGGTGTTTTGCGATCGGATGCAGAAAGAACACTGCTGCTACTGCTGCTACTGCTGCTGCTGCTGCTCGAAGAACCTACCGTCGCTTGACTCGACGGCGAGGCTGATTTTCTACCGACGGGAGTTCGACTACCCGACGACGATGACGATGTTGACTTCTTCTCGTTCAGATTTCCACCAGTATTGTTATTGTTGTTATTATTATTGTTAGAGCTCATATTTTCTAATCCATTTTCTTGGCCACCTACGCTGTGCACGCTAGCCTTTGACGTAGGCCTCCCTTCGTCTTGACTCGACGTACTCTTCCTTGTGACTACGTTCGTCTCGTACGGTTTGAACGCTAAAGTTTTATTGTCCGACGGACTGCCTCGAGTGCTTCGTTCCAATTTAGCCGCAGGCGGAGACTTTGCGTTTGAACCACCGATGTTGCTACTTTTCGATGTATTTTTTTCCAACGGTGAAACCAAGGGTTTCGTCGGCGAGTCCGCGCCTATTTGACTGCATGTTTGTGCCAAGAGTGCCAAAGGACTTTTCTTCGCATCCAACTGCAACATAAAATTAAACACACGTTTTTCTTTTTTTTCTTACATACGATTGAATTCTAAAATCATAATTATTCACGAGAGGTTCGATAAATGATTTTATTCAACACTTTGCATTCGTACGTCATCTCCGAGACGATACAATAGTAATCATTTTATCGTTGTAGTATAACGTACCAAATGTTTAAATAAAAATTAATTTAAATAAATTAAAACACGATTTGGTATGAGTAGGCACGCAACGATATTGAACAAAAACCAAGTTCGAAGTTCAAAAAGGAAATTTTGGTTAAAACTAATATAAATGATAATAAAAATTTAAGAAATTATTATCCTTTTAAATTCTTTTGCCACAACAGAGATTTTTTTGACAAACAAAATCTCTCCGATCAACTTAAGGAATTGAAGATAGAAGTTGAGAGTGAACAGAGTGCTTGCCGACGGACACGAAACGGCCTATCACTATCCGCTTTTTCGACAAGTATCCGAATGCATACGAGACTATTTCGTACTTTTTATTTAAACTACGTTGAAAAATGCATTCTAACTTGTTATTAAAGTACCTTCATAATTTTTTAAACTATTCCTACTATATTTGTAATATTTCTGATCAAACGAACTAGCAAAGATAAAAGATTAGAACGAATAAATTTTCTAGAAGCAAGGTAACATATCTAAAAATTGATCAAATTTCATTTTTCCTACCGATAAATTAAAAAAATTTGTAGATATTTAGAAAAACGATTCTTTATCATTGTATCAAAGAAACTAGTTTCAATAGGTTTCATAAAACATTATAAGAATCCAGGAGAGGAGAAGTTCACAACGGACGAAGTTTTGAAGTATCCGTCGGCTCGCTTTCATCACAACCAATAGAATTAGGGTTCAGGGGATAATTCTTCTCGTTCAAATTGAAAAACCCGTATATTTTACAGCAGACGAAGATAGCTTACTAACCGTGGTTGAAAGCGGAGAAAGATAATCCGGCTGTAAGTACTGATTGTGTCCGGTAGACAGCATACCGCCTTCCTCGAGCACAACCATTTGGGTTAAGCACTTTTCGTAAAGACAAATTCACTGCACTAAATCACACAAATATCACACTTGGGTAAATAAAAGGCCCAAGAAAAAAAAACGATGGAAGTAAGGAAGAGTAGTTGAACAGAATAAAACTGTTCTCCCTAATCGGTCGGCGGACGTGCGCTCACCGTATAATCGGAATACGGTGGCCCGTCGATCGATCCTCTCTCTCTTTCTCTCTGTCTCTCCCTAGCTTAGTAGCTCTATCTCTCTCTTTCTCTGTGACGCGAATATAAGACTTAAACGCGAGCGACGTTCACAGTAGAAAATCCAGGAAAATAATGCTGAGGCCGTCGAGCGAATCCTCGTCGAAGGGAGCACTCGAAGCTCCTAACGCCGTCTCGCGGCGCTTTGGAAGGTCACTTCTATCCCCACCACCGTTAAAGAGGGTGCATAACCTGTGTATGTATGCGCTGAGTGCCCCCACTCCTGGACCAAGTGAGGTCTTGCTAGGGATAGAGGGGGAACGCAGTCGACGCTCGCAGCAATGGAGGGAACGCGGAGTGGGAAAGCTGGTGGGGATAACGCGGTGGGGTTCAGCCCTGCGTGGGGTGTGGGAAGGCATTCTAATTCAACACGCCACCCATGATGTTGGCCCGACGATGACAGCTCCCATCCCGGCTTTGATATTTCACCGCTCTTACAGCCGTTCCCCTTCCTCCGCTTCTCTCACTCTTTTCTTCCCCTCTCGCCCCTCCCTACCCTTCTCTGCTCGTCTCGATCCCACTTACTCGTTTTCTCGGTCGGTCCTTGTCTCACCAACTCCATGCGGCACGGCGCTGCCTCGACACGGAACCGTCCTCCTCATCGTCGTCGTCGTCGTCGTCGTCGTCGTAGGAGCCCGCAGAAGAAGAAGAAGAAGAGGGCTCAGAGGCCAACTGATCATCGCATGCATTTAGGCCCGACCTGTTCACTATCGTTTCTCTTCGCTAACACACGCTTTTCGTTGTAGTGGTCGTCGTCCACGGAACCGTCCTCCTCATCGTCGTCGTCGTCGTCGTCGTCGTCGTCGTCGTCGTCGTCGTCGTCGTCGTCGTCATCATCGTCGTCGTAGTAGCCGTTATAGTCGTTGTAGTCGTCGTAGTCGTCGTAGTCGTCGTAGTCGTCGTCCCTGCCGCCACGGCAACCCGATATTTTATACCGTGAAACCTGTCTGTCTCTCCGGCCGGCCCCGCTTAATAAGCAGCTTTCAAAATAGAAATGTAATGGGTCGGCGGGGAGGGTCTCGGAGTGATTGATCGCTCGCTCAGCGACTTACCGACTACCAACCCGCTCCGAGGCTAACGAATGACAGCCACTTAAGCGCTGTTTGCCTACGGTTTTGTAAAAGCGTTTTAATTATCGCCCGGGCATTGCGCGCCTCGACTTTGCGGCGGCACCAGCACCAGCACCACCACCACCACCGCCACCACCAGTTGTACACTATCCATTCTTCGATGCTTCTCTCTCCTCTTTCATTTTTCGTTTTGCAAAGAGGAACATCTTCCCTTTGGCTTCCGGACTTACTCTTCTGCTACGAGACGCGAAAGAACTTGCGCGTCCTTTCGCATCGGTTACGATCAATTTTATGAAGAGACGGACGATCGATCCCGACTGAATGGTTGCTGCATCCAGATCGATTAACGTTCGCGTTTTTTCTTTTTTATTTTTCCCCTCCCCCAAAGGACTCCGATTTCTTTCCTTTTTATATACTTTTTTTTCGCTCAACCCGTTTCTCTCTATCCGCTCTCTTGATCGATCACGACAAACGAGCGACTTTATCAATTTTCGATCTTTTTACCTTTTCAAATAGATTATCTTTCTAAGTCAAACGAGCTTAAAAGATTTAGAATATATTTAGTCTTATTTATCATTGAAATAATATATTTAACGAAAGGACGAACGAAATTCTTGCTCCCTTGCTCTCTTTTTCCGTATCCTCTCGAAACAGAATACGCTCAACCAAAAATGTCATCGGCTCGATCACGTTTGACTATCGATAAACGACTGAAAAAGAGAACACCCGATCGGATTGCTCGATGCGTTGCGTACTACACCACTTATGTTCCTCGAAAGCTCGTTTCGTTTGGCCCTTCCATTTTATAAAGCGCATCGAGTGTACCTATATCTACTGTGTTCGCCAGATAGGGTGGTATAGACGAGAATTTAACGATTATAAAATTCGATATTAGCTATGTGCTCGATCGTAACAGGATGTAATTTTCTCGTGAGTTTTGCGTTGGATAAAAGAACGGTGAGACTGCTTACCCTTTTCTCCAAGATAAACCGATCGGTAATACAAGCTGCGTTACTGTGGGTAATTGCTACGAATTATGACGCCATCCTGGTACCCGGCATCACATACGTATATATATATATATAGTACGTAAGTATGTAACAACCGGTAAACAATAATTAGCTCGAGGAACGCGACCGTACGGTATTCGAGAAACGTATAAAGCCGTTTTCTACGCAGCCACGCCATCCATATTTTATCTCGGAATTCTTTAACGATCTTGGGATGTCATTAACGATTATAATATATCCTTGCTACTGTCAACGAGCAGACGTTCGAAACGAATCGGATATGTACGTCTTCCTTTGGCAGCCACATCGATTTTCCTTAACGAGCTTTCCGACGAGTCTTGCGTGACTTTTACGTTTCGATTCTTTAACGAATTTTTTTTTTCTTCTTTTTACGTACTGCTTATTAAATCAATTATAATACTAAAAATTTATATTTATTTTAAACAAGTATCCGATCACGTAAGAACACACAGCTCTAGTTGTTTGATATCCTAAAAAACCAATTTCAAAGAGAATCATCCGGGTTGCATAGAAACAGATCGTTCTCGAATACGTTTCTCTCGGAATAAAAATTTAAAGAAAGTTCTCTCATGCCCCGTTCGATATCTAGACGAGAAGAAACACCCGAAATCTCTGAATCACGTAATATCCGAATCTTGGAATCGTTGGCTTGAGAAAAACGGGAAACTCCTCTTGAAAGTCTCGTTTACTATGGCAAAGTCGTGAACGGTAATGGGTGTGGGAAATGGAAGAGGGGATATGAGGAGATCAGGAGGAGGAAGAAGTAGAAGAAGTAGAAGAAGTAGAAGAAGTAGAAAAAGAAGAAGAGAGGTCGAACGAAGTTACGGCGCCACTAATGCCACGACGGCGGATCTTTGACGTTTTGACACTGACGGATGAGTTTACGGCTAATACGGTTCCCTTTCATCTACGCCGCAGGCGCTCTCGAGAATGAACGAGCAAAAGAGAGAGAAATAGATAGAGACAGAGAAAAAGAGAGAGAGAGAACCGTTCGAAGATTCCGTAATGTCGGCAGCTACCGCCCGCCGACAAAAGAATCGACCTGAAACGTGCCACTGACGTGCGTGTTTCGCGCGTAAACTATGTTGCCAAATAAATTATACCTCCGCATGTTTTCGCAACGATTCGAAACATCGTTACGATCCCATATAGGACTGCTTTTCTTCGATCTGTCTAAGTTAATGTGGCAATAACGAGGAGCACGAGCTAATACCTCTCTTTTCCTTCAGCCTATTCGAATATGTTTCATATCTTTATTGTATTCGTATTTTGGAGAAAAAACCGATTTGTCAAACGTTATATTTAAATCTCATAGTCATTAATATTTTTTTTCTTAAATATATTTTTCTATTCGTTTCAATGGTCTTTTATCAAACCTTAAAAAGGATTTATACCGAACAAGAAGTCATTTGTAAAAGGATATGATACCCTTTTCATCTTTTAACTTTTATACATCAAACTGGTAGTTTGAAGCCTAGAAAAATAAATAAATATTAATTCACAATGACCTATTGTGACTGGGTAATCAGAAAGTTTAAGAATTTAAAAATTTCATCTGTAACCTTTTGTCCAACCTTCCATCATAAAGTTGCTGATTACAAAGAGATTGTGAAGAATTCATCAAGTCTTAGAAAGTGCAGAGCAATAGGTGGTCAAGTAGTAAATAACAATTTGACACGGAGGCAAACTTTCATTTTTTTTTAAAGAAAAAAGTGTCAATAACATTTGAAAGGTTTATTTTGACTGGCCATTAATGTTTCTTGATATTGTCATAGAGGATTAAAAAATGAGTCATGCTGCGATCTGAAGAAAAGTTAGGAAGTAGGAACACGCCAAATGAAAGGTTCTAGAAATTTAATGTGTTTCTGCTATTTAGATAATTATTTTGGATCTAATAGATTTTCCTATTTTTTATTGACAATTGCAGGTATAAAAAAGATTCAAACAATGAATAAAAGTTTTTGAACAAATTATTGTACAGGTCATAAATTATCCATAGGAATGTATTCCATTGCTTTAACACGTTGAATGCAATAAGAATGGTTAGTAAGTTCGTAGCGTTACGTAAGTTCGTAACGCTATAAGGGGTCATCATTGACTTATGACATTTTTTAGAATAAAAGCGAAAGTGTACCCTTTCTTTTTAAATACCTATGGGACGTTGGTAATATTTTTTCTAAATCGTCCTTTAAAAAAAGAAAGTGTCAGGAGAAAAGAAATAAATTCTTTTATAAATAGAAATAAATAATTAAAGTTATAAAACCACTAAATCAACAATGAACAAAAAAAAATGTAATTTCCGGAACGCGAGTATAGAGAAAGTTCTTTCAAACAAACGTAAATCGATCGGTCATCAAAAATTACAACAAGACTCGTAATTACGATCGAGAAAATCTGTTATTTATGATCGTCATTCATGGAATTTTGAGTTCGTGTTAAACCGCAATTCCTTTTCGAGCAAGCTCCTCCTCGGGTATGGCTTTTGTCGCTCCTCTTTTTTCTCGAACGATAATTCAACGAAGTCAGACGTCTTCAAATTCGTTTCGGGACAATAGATACTAGAGCGCAGGATAAAAGTGTAAAAATGCTGACAAGCGGATAATAAAGGTGGCAGTCAGTCACTTTGAGAGATGGCGCGGAACAAAGAGGGTGAACGAGCAAGACAGCAAATGACGTAGCACCTAAGTGAGAGAGAGAGAGAGAGAAAGAGAGAGAGAGAGAGAGAGTGAGAGAGTGAGAGAGTGAGAGAGAGAGGGAACGAGGATGAAGGGACCGACCGCCTGTTCGGTGAGCCGTAAAAGAGAAAAAGATGGATGAACGCAAACGTAGTTGGCGTGCACGCCGGAGAAACAGAATTTGCGACAGGCAATAAATCATAGACGGTCTCTTCTTTCCACCCTTATTTCTTATGCACGGCAACTTCGTACGGAATGACAAGGAGGTATCCACGTTATATACATATCGTCATCACCCAGAAGACCACGCGCGGTCATACGAGTTTAACAAAACGAAATAAGAATAAAATAAGCTTTTGCAAAAGCATTAGAAACTTTTATCTCTCTTAACTTTACTATAATAATTTGTTATTGAAATTGTTAGAAAAAAATTAACCGAGACGTGCGATCCAACTTTTCTATGGATATTTCTGAGCAACAATTCACGTGACACGAGATAACAAAACGATTTGCAAGGCAACAACACTTTTTGATCTTATCGTACGGTACACGGAGACAACCGAGACGCGCGTAGAGAATTTATTATCGATACGGATCAACATAGAAACCTTATTTCGTTTTAGATTGAGTTGGGATAGAATAAGCGATGATGGCGAAATGAAATAAAGGATAATTAAAATCGTGACATTGAAAGAAACCATAAAAGGTACCTGATTGCAAGAGT